TATTTTTTTTTCAACTACCCTGGCTGGATCTCCCTCGCCGGTTAATGTTGCTGCGACCAGTAGTCCGGATTTTGAACGGCATCTGGCTAGATCTTACGATGCCCTTGACTCTGGAGTTAGGGCCAAACCTCACGTCCAATCGCCATCTCCATCTTGACTGTTTTGCAAATCCTCATGTACACCTATCATAATCATGTTCTTTTTTACCTTCAGCTTAGAGACTGACCGATATCTAGCTTGCATTAACAATCCTATCGATTAAAGTGACTGGGTTACTTTTTAACTGCAAATTGCCGCCTGCCTAGCACCGCAGCTGCTTCTATTCTTACTATTTGTCTTGGTCGGGGTTAGGATCGGGTTCGTACTTAGTCGCTTACCGGCCGTGATTCTGGATATAACGAAGACGACGACTTGGTTCCACGACCGTTTACCGAGCCGAGCGAATTTCTGTTTGCGATACCTTTGGTTTATTTACGTCGAAGTCATTTCCCGCGTTATTAGGACGAGGACGAACACGAGGCCAGTAGTTTCCGATCTCGTTTCCGTTTGATTCCTCTGATCCACCTGCCGGCGGGTCATCGGTTACTGGCATTGTATCGATTTAAACTCGTAGGGTGGGAGCTGGGATTTGTGTATGCGGCTCATATAGCCGGCAAAAGCCGTGAAGGATTGGAAAGAAGTGGTATGTGGAGATCTGATCTGGGTTCTGCGCTGCCCAGACTGTTCGTTTAAATGAGTCAATCTCAAAATGGGCGGTATAATGGCCAACCACCGGCTATGGGGGGATCTGTTAAAAGAGCGAGGGAAATGGCCAGAGCGAGGCAGATGGCCGAAGCGAGCGGGGCAAGGGGAAATATAGCATCATTTCCAGAACCTCCATCCATAAGACGGCCTCAAGTACCTGCGGGACTACAACTTAGGGACGAACAAGGGCAGATAGGAATGGCGATATCGAGACCGACACCGCTGGCCCAGTGGCCGCTCGCCGGGCCCGTCGCGGCACCGTCACCTAGTGATTCAGAGCCGTACCGACCGCCACCTGGCAGATCGCAACCACCCCAACGTCCTCCACGTCCTAGCAGAGTACCGTCAATTTTAGACAGTTCTCGTATTCAGGAGCACACGCCTATCTTCCAGTACACGCCCCAGAACGCTAGAGCATCGGAGCTGTCCGCACCCGAGACAATACAAAGCGAATCATTGAGACTGTCGACTAACTCTTCAGTCGGAACGATTCCCGATTTTCCATTACCGGTGGCTGCAGATTCTCTAACACCGACAAGGAGAAGTGCAAATCTAGGTCCGCCTCCATCTTCAAGGAGAGGAGCCTCGTCGTTTTATTCAACTATATCGTACGTTTCACCGATACCAGAAGAGAGCCCGAGAACGCGGTCACGTACTTCTTATGCGTCTAGCGCGGCGATACCGGAAACCTTCGAGAATTTCTCGCCAGGATATAGTCCGGGCGCGGTCTCTATCAACGACACGATAGCGGAGGAGTCTTTTATTAGCGACGACGCGGATGAAAGTAGCCTAGTTAGGAGTGCGAGCATTGGAAAGAGGGGAAAGCCGGCTCTGATAACCACAAGAAGCTTTGAAAAGAGGGATTCGATGCCGAGACCTGGACCGACACCGATTCAGAGCGGACCGTTTCGAGACGGCACTGGATATATCGAGGCCTCGTCAAGCTCGTCAGGAAATGTTTCCAGAGAGGCTGTCGGTACTGGCGTGACTGCGGATAACATGTTGAATGCTTTTGAAGGCGCTAGCGCCACAGACCCTTCATCGATACGAAATGTTGCCCCATCGCCGAGACCATATAATAGACTTTCCGCAATTCGACGTCCACCACGTCTTGATATAGATGCAGTAAGAGCAGCCGAGGCTAGAGGGAGCTTGACGAGCTTGCCGGATCTAATTCGACGGGCGACGAGGCTAGCATCGCTGATGGATAGAGGCCGTAGACCAGGGAGCCGTTTTGACGATCTCGATTTTCCTGAGGATACCTATGGCAGTGATCCTGAGAAGGACTTTTATTGTTCGTTCCGCTACCATCTCCACTTATTTGATATACTAATTGACTTGGCAGATAATAATAATAATAAGCATCAGTCTGGACTGTCTGATATGCTGGCGGCATTTCCGCCCCCGGCAACTCGAAGTGGAGTACGAAAGAGCAGACTCTCCGCTGCTTGGCCGTTGGGTCGAATGTCGTTCCGCGGCCCACCGGCAGCAACAGAACCGGGGGTCGATCCTGAACCGGAACCGCAGAAGAAGGGGCGCCGTTGCTGCGGGTTGCCTATATGGACTTTCTTTGCGCTGGCCATCATGTTACTATTCATTATAGCCGCTGCGGTTATTGTTCCTGTCAAATTTCTCGTTCTTGACAAGGCGGCTGTTAAAAGTGTAGCGCAACCGGCTATTTCAAACTGCGAGGCGCAGCTAAATTGTGCTAACGGGGGCACGAATGTGGTTGTGCAGGGTGTCTGTTCGTGTATCTGTTCCAACGGTTTCACTGGGGCGGACTGTACAGTTCCTACTTCTCAGGGCTGTACTACAACATCGATCAGCACGGAAGGCTCCGATATCAATAACGTCACTATTGGCCAGGCAATTCCTCGTCTTATCAGAGATGCACAGAGTAATTTCTCGATTCCTCTAGTTGCCACGTTGATACAGTCAAAATTCAACAAACAAAGTCTATCCTGCAACACGGAAAATGCGCTGGTAACTTTTAACGGGCAATCTCTTCGAGCACAAGAGGCCTCAGCTGAGGTCTCTGACGTTAGTTTGAGCCCCAATCTTGCGCAGGCTGCTGTAGCTGCCGAGGATGTCTTCATTACTCTCAGCGTTTTTCCGGATGTTGATATCACATTAACAGTTGAAAATCCAGCAGGGACTGGTGCGTTTACTGGGAGTTTCGTGGTGACTACTCTAACTAATCCGACTACAATTTCCGGATCTATTCTATTCGCTACTACTATAACACCTAGCAACTCCGAGCGATCTTCACCTACGTCATACCCTACGACAGCCCCGACAACAGCCCCGACAACAGCACCCACCTCGACTACTACTACCCCAAGTAGTACAAGCTCGGCCCCCATGCCAAGTTCAACTTTTACTGTTACAGAGGACATTGTTGACTTTGCGCGCGTGGCTGTGCTTTATATTTTCCAAGAAAAAACATTGTCCGATGCAGTAACTGCTCAGTCCTCAGTTCAGAGCTTTTTTACTGACGTAGACGTCAGTCGAAATACGTCTTCTTGCGTAATGATGGAGGAAGGATTGAATGTTACTCTTGGCGGAGGGAACACGATTGATTTCGTGAACCTATTCGTTGATATAGGCAAAGGACGAATCGGAGGTCGCAATAAATAATGTGTTTTGACCGACGAAACTTACGCGCCTACGTTTCGAATGCTATTCGAGCCGGTCGGGTAACAATACCAAGTTGTCCGCTGTATGAATAACAGAGGCGAGCTGACTTGCAATGCGCCACGGGCCTAGAGAGGTCACGAGTATTAAACGTATGACTGTTCTATTTTCTAAGTTAAAGACAACCCCAAGGGCGTTGTTCTTCGTGTACAAAATATTTGTATCGATTTTTACGCATGAGCGGCACGGGGAAACCAATTGCATGTGTAGAGAAGAGGGTATAGCGCCGGCGTAAATAGGGGAGAACTCGTAGATAGCTCGAGCAATCTTTCGAGGCAATGTTTAATAGAATCGTATTCTAACTACATATTTTTGAAAAGAGGCTGCCTGATGGCATCGTTTGATGATTCCGACCCCGCCTCATTATTACCTTGTTGGAACGTCGGAATCAGGGTGGGAATATTGAAGTTTGGTGTAGCTACATGGCCGATACAGTAAAAGCGAAGTACGCGCAACGCGTCTATATACTGTGCGAACATTAAGTAATTCCCCAACACATACCAGCTATGCCACACACGTGCTATGGAGTCTGGTCCACAGGCTATCAGATACGAGGATCACAGGATAGTCCCGAACCTACGGGATCTTTTTCTTCTTCTTATTGTTTTAGGGCCGGTAAGCGAAAGTAACTATACCTAAACGTACGAAAAGAAAATCATAACAGGCTTATTGCAACCCTAGTCCTTTTTTCAACATTCGTGCTAGGTATTTGTCCTTTTACTGTTATTCGCGCAAGTGGTGATGCAGTTTGACTACGGCATCTAACTAGCCCGCTTGTCTGACTATGTCTATATGTAGCGTAGTGTATTTACCTAATGTACTACATATGTAAGAGGTAGTTTAGACCTTGGCGTCGCATGGTTGGCGGTGCGGTGCGGTGCGGTGCGGTGCGGTGCGGTGCGGTTACAACATAGGTATACATACTCGTACAGGTATCTTGCATTCCAAGACGCGAATGCAGGTTTAGGCTAGACGGTACCCGTATATATGCAGGTACGGCCCCGTATCTGCCGTGACCGCAACGGCGATTCGCGGAGGTTGGGGCTGGAACACTATATTGATTTGGCTTAAAGCTGGTAAGCGAGTCTAGTCCAGGAACGAGGAGATCCTACGGGGAACTTCTGGAGTTGCGAGTCGCGAGTTGCGACTTGTAGGCCCGTGTGGATGGGGGTGGGCTGGTTATATGTAAGGTACAATCGTAATGATGATGATACGGTGCATATGTATAGTGTATTCGCGAGGCAGCGGGTCTTATACAGCATGCAATATATGTATATTATATGGATTATACGTAATATAATACATATAGCATATACCTACATATTTGTAGGCTGTGCAGACCCCCGTAGGGAAAATGCAGCTAGGGCTGCTTACGAGGCTTTAGAGACCCAATCGGATGGCGTCTGTCGGTGTAAAGATGGAAGGGGGAGGAGATGGAGAAAAAATGTACCTAGAGGCAGAAGAGAGGGCTGAAGAGATGCGGTGTGGCCTTGATGGGCCCGGATGTTTGGGAGGGATATGGGGCTTATGGGGCCTTTTCTAGCGCTGTGATTGATTTACCTATCTTTGCTGTACATATTGACGGAATATAGCCTATGCTGAGGGATCGACAAGTGCCGGGCTGCGCGGGGGTTTGCTGCTGTGCTGCTAAATGACCGCATGCCTTTATGCTTTTTTTTGCCCTTTTTCCCTATTGTCTTTCGGGTTCCTTCACTGTCCTTACTGTACTGTGCGTAGTATTGATGATGTGAGAGGGGAGTATGTACACCAACTTTGTACACCAAAGGATGGGGAGGATTCTGCCCGAGGATACCACACACTGTTCCCTCTTGGACATTTTCTCATCCCCCTGTGTCTTGCATGCCCGAGATGCGGGTCGTTCGGGCTTGACCCATCAGTACTCAGAAATATTTATCGTTTTTATATCTGTACTTTTCCCGGACCTCTGGGATTTCTTCTGCCAGCTGAAGGGGTTTCGAAAAAAAGAGAAAGAGTAAGACACTCGAACAATATGACCAAATAAACTCTACGTTCGCCTAGCCATCTCCCAGCCCACTTACGTTCCTTTTTGATATTTATGATTATGATGATGATAACGGTTTGAATATGATCATATTATCTGTCCTTCCTTTTGAATAAAATACGCCTCGGATCCGTCATTCGCTTTACCTGATCCAAGCCAATTGCCGAGAACATTCTTTATTACCTACCATACTCGTTAGCCCATCATTAGCCCGGATTCTCATCACTCATTACCGATTCGACCTGGAGCCATCTTGACAAGATCGGTCGGTTTCATATACTTGAAACCAGCGAACGCACAATCCTTAAGCGGTCTTGGGGAACGACTGCAGAATATTCACTGCACATAATGCCGGACCACGAAGCCACACAAGGAAAGCGGAGGAGTCCCGAGTTATTGGCGCTGCCGAAACTGATCGTACCCACTACCATTGTTGAGGATTTCGATGCCAACTCATCGAATGGTAATGTCGTCCTCCAGCCTCATGCCCTGAGTGTCGATTTTCAGTATAACAAAGGCGAGCCTGTATCACCATGCTCAGATGTTTCACCCTCATCTCGATGTAGCGTTGTCTCACTTTCACCATCTCTCTTTCCGCTACCACCAAGCAGTGCTACTCCGCCAACTACCGCTCACTCATCAATACTGGACTCGCCGCCACCACCATGCACATCACACTCGCATTCTTCTATAAGTCCATGGTTTTCTCCGCCGTCGCCGCCTCCCTCTACACCACTACCGCCCACACCCACACAAAAAAGGCTAGCTAGCCTCATCGGTCTTGCGAGTGGCCTTGAAAATGTTCAGGTGCCTGCTTATGCAAAGGTTAAGAGTCCTCTTTCGGAGTCGCCTGAAATAAGTCCGGCAAATCCAACGAATGATCCCAGGACGCCACCCCGGCGGCTCACAAATTTTACCATCGACTCCCAGGGATTCCGGGAGTCGGTAATAGATCCAGACGTAACTCTTACACCACCACCACCAAGGTCATCGCTACCGCCTCCGTACTCATCCGGTCTATGCACCCCGGAGCGCTTAAGTAACGCTAGCGTACCGAGCACCCGAGTGGACTCAACGACGCCGTTGGCGTATAATCTAGCGGATTATGAACACGGCCGAACTCCTCATAGCCCCGAGCCCGAGCGCGAAAGGAGAAAGCAGTGCGGGGACGTAGAGGCCGGAGGGACAGGTTGGTGGGCGCGACACCGGCAAACCAAGCCGCAGAAAAGGAGAAGGAAGATCACGATGACGGTTATAGGTGCGGCTTCGGCAGCCCTGGTGATGGTTGTCGCTGGGATCGCCGTTGGGATATATCTGGCAGTGGCCGGTAGTGCGTCATTATAGGCAAGCTTTACCCCGTCTCTTATATGATGTAAGAGCTATTTACGATATGATTATGATATAAGAAAAGGGAGGGATAGAAGGGATAGAAGGTGAGATAGACAAGGTACCAAGGTATGCTTATATGTAAGTATACCTTCATGTATGTATTATGAGTGTATGAAACCCATCTGGGCTGCGTACCATCGAGCCTCCAGATAGACAAGACAAGACATGTGCGTATGCACAATCCTTCGTCTCGTGACGAACCGTTGTAAGTTTATAATTTGAATTTTACCTTCTGGCCTGCACGTAAGATGCATCTGATATAAGATCAGGTAGCATAAGTATGACTGGGGATTTATAATGGACGTTAGTTGGAGCTTTAACTGCCTCATACATGCGCATGTAACGATGCATGAGTAAGAAAAAAGGTAGGATTCGCTGCTTACGCGAAGAATTCGGATACTAAACGCGGACTAGCACGTGAGAGTTCAGTGGTCCGATCGGCATTATTTATGCATCTCCGGGGGAAAACGACTCCCCGGGTTGATCCACTAGGTAATCTCCAATATCCTCTTCCACACTGACGACGACTCAAATGCTTACGAAATCATATTCAATCTGTTTATTATTACCCTCCTTATTCCTAGTCCTAAAAACTACACGACCTAATTAACTCAATAACACCTTTCATGTTTAGAAGTGCTGATGTAATTCGTACCCCTTTACCAATATTTACGGCATCTAGTCTAGTCTAATTTTTATGCTTACCTATCTCACCTCTTATACCTATCTTACCTAACCTGACTGCAATCAACAACCCTAACCACACCATGGAGCAGTCAAGTATACCGCAAGCGCAGCCTCAACCTAAGCATAACAAGATAAATTATGCCTGCGAGGCGTGTCGAATATCCAAGATTAAATGTCAACCCGGAACACAACCCGGGATCTGTAAGCGGTATGGCGCCATCGTGACCAGTTCCCCAGCATTGGTCTTCACTCTACCCCCTACTATATCGGTCAAGGGCTAAATATGCATGTCATCTTGCACGATACAGCTGCTCCGAGTTCAAACGGGAATGCGTCTTTCGAACCGGTCCACGAACTCGGCGACCCAAGGTTACTCGGCCGTAAGTACTGTGTTTTTCTGTTCCCCTTTAAAATGTAACTCGATCTTCCCCTTTTCTACCTACTGTAGGATCTAGTTGAGCTTAGAGTATCCTATCAGAGATGCAGAGGCCCGGCCGCCTCCTCCCGGCCCCAGTCAGACCTTCAGCATCGACTTCACTATGCCCGCTGATGATGATCTTCATGATAACTTCGACGCTCTAAGAGAAAAGCACGAACGCTTTATCGATGGCCTCATACCGTCTAGTGACGATGAATCAAATGGTGACCTGGCACAACTGTCATCGACGGGAGAAACGTTTAACTTCAACGATCTCTCTATGCCGACTCCGTCTGGGGCAGCAGCGAGAGGCGCTTCACGGCCCGTAAGTAGCCTCGGTATTAAGCCACGCTTCAACCTCGAATCGGCAGAAAAGTTGCTCGAGTCGTTCCGGGCTATGCTGTCGTCCTCTCCATGTATTGCGTTGCCCGAAGATGCGGACGTGCGGTCCTTGGCTCGCGACATGCCCTTCGTGCTCTTGTCTTTACTCGCCGTGACCAGTTGCTCTACGAGTTTACAAGGTCATAGTCTCTATGACGAGGAGTATCGTAAGGTTTTAGCTTTAAAATTTGTCGCTGGGGGTGAAAGGTCCATCGAGTTGCTGCAAGGAATAATGATTTACTGTTCCTGGTAAGTAAACTTTGTTTTATATAAGTTTATGCCTATGGCAGTAGATATGGTATGCGACACTCATATACTACTTTGCTTCCATATCAAACACAAGGGTGGGATAGTTTTGACAAATTAACTTGCCTACTAGGTACCCCTTTCATCTACGCCCGAAAAATAGGCAGTTACAACAGTATCTACGAATGGCCATAGATATTGTACATGACTTAGGATTAGATGAGGAAACACGTATAGATCTCGCGACCATGCCACTAGAAAGAAAGGTAGCCAAGTTACAAGGCATCCGGGCGTATCTTTCTTGTTTCCACCTCAACTCGGTGTCAGTCAAAACTAACTTCCCCTTCTATTATATCTTCAATTTTAACCTCAAAGTAGATACGCGTGGGGGTGGTCTAAGTCGTGTACGCTAAGGTATACGCCGTGGATGGCCAAATGTTGCGATATGCTAGAGCAATACAGCGACCTTGAGCAAGATCACATCCTTGTCTGGCTCGTCCGTCTACAATATGTGCTAAATGAGTTTGCAGAGCTACATAGGAGCTATAAGAAGCACGATGCTAGCAACCAGAGCGATCACCACAAACAACTTATTCGGGCTGGCCTTGAGATGCAACTACGAGATTTCCAGGCCAGAATCCCTATCCACCTTTCAACTAAGCGTAGGATGCCCCTTTATCATTTTCTTGTCCTTGTAGCTAATGGCAACATACCATAGCGAGTATTTTTATGGCCTCCCTCGTCGGCGATGCATTCCTTCTGGCCGCACCTCTCATGCAGACGGTTCGACCACGTCCAGAAGATGCAACGGCGCTCATAATCGATCCCGCTGAGCTTCAATCTGCCGCGTATGCAGCACGGACGTTACTGGACTACGTCGTGAACCTATCCCCAACGCAGATGAGCTACTTTTGCGGGGCTGACCTCACACGTTTCATTCTGACAATTATCCTCGGCTTCAGACTTTCATTTCCAATTTCATTCTGCCCCAGTTATGATTACTCACAGGGCCGGAAAGTCTTGGATCTCGGCACGTATCTCACCAAGTTGTCGAGCAATAACGACGATGATGCTGCGAATAGCGGTACTAAAAGGCCAAGCAAGAAAACCGATGTTGTGAGCGCCCTGAAAGTCGTCCTGGGATCCGTAAAGACCAGCTTCGACAAGAAGTCCGCCGTGCTAGAAGCCGCTGCCGAGGAGCATAATAAGAGAGCGCGGCTATGCCCGATGTTCGACGGAAGCCTAGAACAGTACCTTCCGCAGTGGGAAGGGGAAGAGCAGCAGGGAAGCAGCAACAACACCTCTGGTTCATCGTACGCACCCTCTTCGCACAGCGGGACCGGGAGCGGGAGCTCGGCGGCTCATCCCGCAGCACCGTCGACGGCGGGCGAAGAAGGAGTATCGTCGCCGGGGTCGGCGAAACCAATGCTATTCCACGACCTCTGGGCCACGATGACGATGGGCTGGGCTACGGATCTAGATATGAGCTTGCAGCAAGGGGTAGATGTACCGGAGATGAACGGTGTCGAGTACGTCGATCTTATGGGTATGAGAGGATCGCTTCATGACTTATGATTATGATGGCGGGACTATCTGTGACTCGTGATCTCTGGCTTCTTGCATATACCTAGGGAGAAGAATGTATTGAGTATAAGAAGTATCAGAGGATTTTTGTACAGACATGAGCATATATTCAATTAAATATGTAGATACATGTTGAGTTGTAGTGTACTCTTGCTATGGACTGCCTTTGTGAACTTGAATTAAAGGGGGCGGGGTTTAATTCTGAAGCCCCTTTTCTATTTGTAGGTGAGGTAACTGTTGACGCTAAGAATACCTGGTAGGTACTGAAAGTAGGCCCATGAGGTTTTTCTACTCGATTAATTGGTATGCCAGTAAACTTATTAGCTATCAAACCCTTGCCCTTTGGTTTACATCTGGAACTACAAAATTAGCTAAGCTCCCACGGGGGTTTCGTTATCTAATCGAAGCTCATAATCTAGTTTGCTCTATTTAAGACGTAATATCGTATTCATCGTTGTCTTTCGGGCGTATGAGACGTCAAATTAGGTACTTATCCCGGCTAGTTTCATGCCTTGTATGAATACACATGTTGTGGAATAGAGGTTAGCAAACACGTAGAATGACACCCCTTTATGTATTAGTCTATCACATGCTTCAATCGTTTAGGTACCCAGATATTCGAATAAAATTTATACATCATATCTAATACTAGACTTAGGACTTGTACTGTTACTATGGTTTAATAGCGATACTAGAAGAGGATGAAGTAAAGCGAGCTACGTAGCTTGGCACTTTTCCTCGTCATCTTGCCCACTGTTACAAAATTCAACGATGTAGAACTTCATCTCTTGTTCATATTGTTAGTTCAGATGTCCTCCATCAGCCAAGGCAAAACCTTTCTGCCCCAGTACTGGACCATTTTATAATGGCCTAATCCCTGAGGCATAGATTCGATGGCTTCGGCCAACGCCTTTCCATCTCCCTCGGCTTTCACTTGGTGAAGCGGAGTCATGTAAGACCGGACAGTGAAGATGATGGCGCTTGTACGTGGTAGTTTGGTGAGTGTTTGGTGTTCCACGCGCAGGTAGCACTCGTCGAGAGAAGGATCTTCCTTGTAGTCCGAGACCTCCTGGTCAGTTCCAGGGTAGTAGTTATTACCGTCGGTGCGGAAGAGATCGGCGCCGTCAACCTGGAGAGACCACTTTTATAAATTAGTCCGGGGCGAAAAATTACAACAATCGCGACAGGTTGAGTTGACTTACATTCATGCGGCCTATGAAATCGCCGGGCTGCATCCGAGCAAAATACCGATCCACGCTAAGTCCGAGCTTCCTTTCGTAGCCTGGAACTGGTTTGTGGATCTCCCGGACGGACTCACCGACTCGGGATGGACTGAGGAATCCACCTGGGAAGCAAGCAATGTATCCTTGCAGACGGTACTCTCCGTTTGCGTCGGGGCACATGAAGTAAAAGTCTTCCTGTTTCGCATTTTGGAGTCAATAGCTAAACTTTCTTAAGGTAACTACCAATACTTACCTCGACGTTTTCTCCCATGTATGCCAACATTTGGGCGTGCGTAAGTCCCTCGGTAGTAAGTGGGTAAGTAGCTCCCGTAGCTAAATTCTTGACCGATTTCCCCCGCATCTTCCCTTGCGTCTTGAACATAGTTGGGAACCTAGCGGGTAAATACTTGATCATGATCTCTTCGTATAGTTCCTCGATAGCGGGATTGACTGCCTCGCCGGTCCCGATCGTAAACTCGGCCTTTTCTCGGATAAGGGGCAAGCGTTCTTGGATACGACGAAGATAGCCACGATCCATTCTAATCCAATCTGAACGAACACGCTTTTGGATTCCTGTGTTTTATGAGTCTGGAACTATGAATACTAAGAGTGTGACTTTATTTACCCATAGTAACGTGTCCTTGAGTCTTGTACGGCTGGTATTTAATAGGGTCTACCTTACGGAAGTCGAAATCCCACAAAGGCTCGATTTCATCGTCTTGAGGTGACTTTTCTTTCAATGTCTTGGTTTCGAGTTTCTGTTTCTGATTGAAGGTCTTCATGATCTGAGTCAGTGCCAACAGCACTGGAGCTAGTAAGAGAAACCATAGTGCTTCCGGAGCAAAAAAACTATCGTGTGCAATCTCAAGCATGATGGAATAGTATAACGTCTGTTTTAATAATGTTTTAATAAAAGTGCGTAATTTCTAAGTCTTCAAGGCAATTTCGGATGTCTTATATGCTCGTGAGAAATACCCATTGCATCAGTTTATTTCATATTTCTATCATACGACAACTGTGGAACCAAAACTAAAAGCCTGCAAGCGAACAACCAGTTACCTTACAGATGAAACATCGTGGATACTATCTTTGGGACGTGGCGGGATGTTTTAGCTAATTAAGCTTGAGAGTAGACTCAAAGGAGTCTATTGCAGTGTGTTTGCAGTGTGGGGAATCATGGGCTCGTAGAAATATGCAATCGTGTCTACGCCATAACGAAATCGGAAACTTGGACAGTTCTAGCCAATACGCCTGGTATACGTGTATTTCTTGGCTAAAAGTTAGCCTCCTTGGGTTATCACATATAAAGATTCGGACTTAAGGATTCCTTTTAGGCCTTAATCATAGTTAACTCCACTAGGCTTCCCCATTAAAGGAAGCTCATTTTCAACTTTAACTACAAGTCACTTCTGAATGTTGGTAGATTATATTTCAAGCTTTAAGTCCATGTAAAGATGCCTTATGGGAATCCTAGTCATCATTACCTAATGTTTTGGTTGTAAGTTGCGTGGCCCTTGTTAGTTAAGCTGCAGTTGGGACATACAATAACGAAACGCATAGGACAAGTACCTCATATATGCGACTCCCACAATGCTCGCCATGCTGAAATACAAAGTTATCAAAACTCTAGTAAATCTGAACCTTTTCTATTTCATCACGTTAATTTCTTGGAGTTCAAGTATATAATAATACTATGTGTCTACTTTCTTGCCAACTTAGGTACTGTGATATTTCTCTGTTCCTTTGACTTCGGCAACCTTAGCTATGTCAAAAACTGATCGGTACCTAGGTAGGCGTGTGTGGGGAAACTCGATCCTGTTGTCTACTTTGACGAACACAGATGTCAAATATCGAATTCCTCGACTGCAAGGTAGCATTCCAGCGTCCCTTCCCTGCGTGCCATGTCAACTGACTAATGTTGTCGACGAGATCCTTGACATCGGATGCGGAGTGTCCAAGCCGCTAAGATAGCACCATATGTAAAACATTGCGGGGGTGGATGCTTTATCCGACATGATGGAGTCGCTTGATAAGGTATTCCGGCATTCAGTACTCATCTTGATGTCGTTGACCCTCGATATCTCGACGAGAATGCAAAGTTCTGTACCACTGTTCAACCGAGTTTGTCTAACGTCACGCTGCAATTGATCCTTCTCGACAAGACTACCCTCACCAATACGATCAGAAGTTTTGAACAAGAAGTCCTTAAGCCTAGTGACATTGTCGTAAGTGGGCCGAGCGCCCCAGGCGACGCAGCAGAGGTCTAGTCTATCAGCAAACCCCGGAGACGTAGCAGAAAACGTATCTCCGTGGCGGCGCTCGGATATTTAGCCCATGAGGAGTTTGACTACCAAGTAGCAAGGGTTTCGGTGGGCCAGAAATGAAGTCGGATTAAGGCAAACGGAGCTTCCCATTGGAGAATGAGGCGGGATCGAAGGATGGTAAAGAATTTTGTACTGACGCAAGGCAAAGATAGCGGGCCAACCGGTTTAAGTATTGTACCAGAGTTATCTGGTTTGATATAGAGTTCTTTGAGCCTTTGTTAGGTAGCGTTCAACGATCTATCATAATAGTATTTACTTCTGCTTAATTCTCACCTAGGCACAATACGTTAAAGAGTTAAGGGGCTTTCTTAGTGAATTGGAGCGGATATTCGGTTACGTTGTTACTTGGTATCTTACATTCCAAAATTTCAAATATGAGACGATACAGCTGCTTAGTAGGTTAGTCGGTCCATACGATTTAGAAAAGTGGTTACTAGTCAGGCACAGCATAACCCCCCGCTGGGATTATTATCGATCCCTGCTCACAGAGGTAGGTTCGTACGTAGAACAAATCCCGCTCGCCTTACCTGGACTCCGCGTCGGCCCAAGCTCCTGGATGCGGCTCCATATTGGGGTAGGATCAGTATGGGGTACCGTAAACATACTTTCCTATGTCCTCCCATGCAAGGGAGACATAGATTCACATTCCACATATATTGACAAATTAAGACTTTGAAAAGACTCGAAACATGCCACTTTAGGAATGGTGCAAAGACTCAATCAATCAGATGTATGTAAATAGATAACGTACCCCCCGTGAACTTGGAATGTTTTTTGAACGGACCATGTTTTTGTATCCCAAATCTTGATGGTGTGGTCATATAATCCTGAGGCCAGTTGTGTCGAGTCACGAGAGAATGTGATCGATTGGGCCTTATATCCGCTACCCCTAAATGGTTGATAAAAGGATCCCAATTCAATATCCCAGATACTAATAGTACCGTCATCCGACCTTGAGGCTAGTAGCTTAGAGTCATAGGAAAACTCGACTGAAAGAACATTACCTTCACGGACTTCAAGTGTTCGCTGGAGGGACAACGTCTTTATATCCCAAATTTCAATGATACGATCGTGTAAACCTAAGGCTAATAGGCTCGAATCATGAGAAAATGCAAGCGAGAAGATTGTCATTCGGTTACTTTTGCGAGGATGTATTGAAGGGTCCAAGTTTTGGTATCCCAAATCTCTATTGGCTTATCGTCCAACGAACCCGAGGCCAATAGAGTTGAGTCATGAGAGAATGCAACTGAGTATACCATGTCTTTATGACCTTCGAGTGTTTTTAAACACGGACTCCAAGCAAGTTCAACTTGTGGCTTTATTTCGATCCATTCCGGCTCTTCTTTTAAAAACGTCTTTCGCGTTAGGCAATTGACCGAGCTGAATATAAGAGCTGACGTGTATGCCTGAAGCGGGCTGTTTTCAATTACCCATTTATTGTGAAGGATAAATCTACGGGAATCATGGGCACGATCTAGTAATCCACGATTAGATGAATTTTCCTATTCCGATTAGCTTCCTCATTGTCAGGATTCTAGATGAGACATCTAGAATCCTGAGACAGTCCACGCAATAGCAGCTTCCGGAACCGACTTAACAGCTATGTCAATGAATTCCTTGACGGGGGAAATGTAATTCATTGTCCCCTGGATATTTTGCTTTACTGTAGCCTCCGTGCCTGTCTTCTCTAATCCCGCTTGGACGAGCCGGTGCATTTGAGACCGTCTCCTCTCCGAGTTCGTCTGATCAATATCATTATTTTGAACCGCTTCATCTGTTGAGCTTAAATCTTCGATAAGTTCGCGCGATAGAAGTGTCTCGTATGCGTCCACCAACTTCGGCTGCTCGGCCTTAAGACAATCATAGACTTCATTCCAAAGCCGACCTTGCAGGCTTGTGTGCACCTTGGTAGTTGTATCAGGCGGGTCTAATTGCGTAGAAAACGGTGGTTGCGGTGGCTGCGGTGTATGATATATATGAGGTGTATGCGGTGTATGCGAAGTAGATATAGGAGTCCTCAAAACCGCCGTCAATGATTTCTGAGCGTTCATAGGCGATGTTAGTATCTCGACTCGATCGTATAGCTCTCGTATAAGGTCTGTAACGGTGTCAGTTATTTGCTAAGTGTTAGCTTGTCCTCGCCCAGCATAGAAGCCTTTCGAAACGATCGAAGTATTGCCTAGGCAGTGGATAGAGTACCGCACCACCTTGCGTTTTAATCTTTTATATCGGATTTCAGACCTTGCCACCACCCTGGTGCTATAGTGTCTGTAAGAATATCTAGGCTTTAAAATTAAAGAAAAAAAGAAAAGGAAAAATATAGTGTTAGACACAAACCTATCTCTAAATCTGAGAAATTGTTGATGATGGTGGTCACTAAGGAAGCGCAAACAGCCTTTAAAGTATCGGTTGTGCGGCTGAAAGACTCATAACGTGTGTTGAAGCCATTGAATGATAAGGTTAGTTGGATAGTACGGCTACGTGATGTATAGGTATCTTGCGTGATACTAACACCGGAAGCTCAGCTACATAGCTTAGGTGCAATTATTTTTTTTAAAATAGTTCTTAGAGGTAACATAAAGAAGTGATTGGGCATGACTTCAAGGCACGATGGCCACTTTGTTAGGTACCTAGGTACCTAGACTGATAGTACTAGGAGCTAAGGCTCTAGCGTACGTAGTAAAGTGCAGCATATCGGAATCGTTAATGCCTCGTGAGCGCTTAATTTGGTCCAGTCCTCTTATCACATACTTTATCGGAGGTTTGGTATGATGCATCTGGTCAGCTACTCAGAGTCCTACATCGAGACCCCACAATTTTTCAAGTTGCAACAACTCTCGGATAATTCAGAATAAAAGCATCGGACCATTTTAGAGTTGAATTAAGGTTGAGGCCACCAAGTCCACTAGGCCACTAGGCACGGGCCGTGGTGGAGCGACTCACTCACCCACCGTTACACAGCCGGATCCACCAATATGGCAACATGCCCCATAAAACTACAGGTTAACGTTTGCATTCCAAGAGCCAATACTAAGCAAGCGGTGCTTGCCTATTAGATAAGTAATGTAATACTCCGCACGGAGTATTATTTTTAATATCTTGTTTTTAGCTTTATATATATATATATCATGTTACATTTACTTGATACATGTAGCTTTTACATGACCACTTAAAAGATTGTAAAAAAAAAAGACGAAAAATTATACAATGTTTATGGCATAGTAGTAACTAATACCTTGCCTTAAGTATCGAACAATACTTTTAACATTAACTACTTGCTTAATGTTGCTTTACTATAATTTCAAACGGCCAATACTTATGTTCCAAGTTATATAAGTATTTAAAACTCCTTAGAAAATGTGCCTTGCACCACTGCTGATAAGCTATGGTAAATGAGGTATGTGACACAAGCAAAACAGGTATATACCTTAGGTACCTTTTAACTTAATCTTAGAGCTAGTAGCACTCAACGCTCTATGTTGTATAACGTAAGTACATATTAAGTCATGCTATCTTTTTTATGCATGGGCTGTATTCTTACCCTTGTTAGCGTGATTCCCGTTTATTCTAGCGGATAGACCCGCGGCCCCTCCCCCACGTTTTCTCCTTCTTTTATCTAAAAAAGGGGGTAAGAAAATACGTAAGCGGGTCTAGGGTGGCCCCTCGATCAACTAAACATCATTCTTTTATCGTCATTTTTTACTCCCCAGCATCCATTCTCGTTTCAGTTCACATAGCCCCATATGCACGATTTGCAAGTTTAACGTTTAATTCTATTGTACCTAGTAAGACCCAAAGAGCGAGCGATCCTACTAAGCTCAAGCTGCCATGTATGGGAAAGATTAACTGGATCAGACTCCTTGTCAACTTGCGTAAGCACTACTCTGAAAGCAGATATCCGCCGCCATAGGTTCTTTCCCCCTAGCCCCGCATGATTCTTACAGCCTACAGGATGATAATTACTCCACAGCAGGTACGGCAGGTCCAACTAGGACGCACGAATCCAAAGTCAACGTGCTACCGTTGATATAATACGCGGCCGGCGTGCAGAGGTATAGACAGGCAGATGCTACCTCGTAGGGTGCAATCAGACGCCCGGCAGCAGGTAGCTGCTCGATGAGACCGCGCAGTTGGGGGATTCGGTTGTACTCCTCGTGGGACATGGGGGTGTCAACCCATGAAGGGCAGACCTGATTACACCGAATGCCGAGTGCCTTGTAGTCAACAGCTAATCGTCTTGTCAGCAATATGTACGATAGTAACACCAATCAGTATTATACGTACCACAAGCTCGGGTAAGTCCTCCGACGGCGTGCTTGGAGGTAATGTAAGCCACCTTGTTGGGCAGGGCGCTAATTCCCAGGATAGAAGAAATGTTGACGATCGATCCGCGACCGAGGTCTCTAACGCCGTGACGCCCTAGCTCAATTTTGGCAGAGTCTTGAGCCTTCATGACCTTAGCAACGGATTGAGTGACGTATAATATGCTCTTGGCGTTGATGTCGAACACGCGATCAAAGTCGGCAATGTCCGCTTGGTCAAACGGAACGTTTTTGCGGCCGTCGACCTAGCCATTGATACTCGTCAACATGCTGCTTCACGTATGGGTATCATCGGGAACTTACACCGGCGGCGTTGACGACGTAGTCAATCCTGCCAAATTCCTTGACTGCAACGTCGACCATCTCTTGCACTGACTTGGCGTCCGTCACGTTCACCTTCACAGCCACTGCTTTGTAGTCCTTAGCTAGAGCTACCTTTTTGCTGCTCTCGGCAGCTTTGAGGGCTCCCTCATAGTTGATATCGGCGAAGAGAATACCCCTCGAGCCTGCCTCAGCGAATGTGGCACCAAGCTCTGTACCAATACCGCCACCGGCCTGTTCAAAAGGGAGTCAGCACTAGCTTATAGAGTTCTTCTGTTTGGATAATACGTACACCAACTAAAATGGTGTAGCCGCTAACTTGAAAAGCTGCCATCGTGAATGAATATGTAGGCAAAAGTGAAGTCCTCCTGGGAACCGAAATATAGCAAATATAGCTTGGTGATCGTGATGTCTGTAGAAGAGAACCTGCTTGTATAAGTAGCTACAGGAGAGACAAGAAAGAGAGAATCTACAAGTTTAAATACTTCTTTGTCTATAGCCGCGCCTTTGCCCAGAAGTCAGCTGTCCCCTCCACGTGTCTCGGCATAATTCTCAACGCATCGCTACGTGGGGAGAACGGGCGCTTCTTACAGTGCTTCAACATACTAGTGACGTATAGTCTGATGGTCAGGTTGCTAAACTCCAAAGAAAACCACCGTTATAATGCCCAATTCGGCGATGTAGGTAGTAACGCCGATAGGATCCCAGGGAACGGGCTACACGTGTCAGCCCGAACCAAAGAAACTATGTAGGGCTAGAACTGAAATACCACTCTTCAGTCAGATCCGGTAATCTAGTGCTTGTCACAGTGTACGCCTAATGTGAGTTATGACGAGCCTCAAGCTCAGGTTGTAGTTATTGAAGGTTTTCGCGAATCTACCCCAAGTGATACTTTTATAGCAAGGCTGATGATGAGTTATTCTTGAAGGAATATTTAGCAATAGCCTCGAGGTCTTAGATGACGTTCGTGTTGGTATATGGGTCTCTTAGTGCGTTCTTCCTAGTCCCCGAGCGCTAAGTCCTACTGCTTATGGACGTGCGACATTCGTTCAGGGATTCCTTCCTATAATATGACAGGTCGATTTATTATACAGGGCTGGTGTGCATACATACCTATGTATGGCACTTCTGGAATGGCCTGGGTGCCACCGTGAGCCTAGTTACTACCTACTGCATATCTTACTAGGTTAGCCGGTTACCAGTTTACACCTGGATGACTTTATTCAAAAGATATGATTCGGCCGTCGTCAATATTTGAACCAAACCGATACAGCAGTCACTGTTTCACCGCTCCATTGCAGACAGTTCCCGGGTATGTATGTTGGAGTATCAGACATGACCCGGATATGCAGCGTTGACCGCCACTTGGGAAATGTATGTAGTTGCATGTTGTGTAAGCCGCAATTTTTGTCTTAGAAATGATTCGTGTGGGGAAGCTTAGGTATTCTTCGGTACGCTTGTTTCGTCATAAAGGCATTATCCCCGAAAAGTCTCCGTTGTTAAGAGGTCCAAGCTTAAGGCTGGACTGTTGCTATCAACTAAAACTTAGATGGGGGTTGTCTTTACGGAATTGACTTAAATGCGTTGAGCGAGTCAAGAATAAACACCAAGACATAAACGGGGCAACATCCGAGTGACATGGCGCTGTGTTGCAATGTGTAAGCAGCTTACGTATTTCTCCATTATTGTAAGTCACCTCATCAGTCAACTACATTTCATTCCCAGAGTAAATAGGAAGAGCCCGTATTCGTTTTAAATGGATTACTTAAATACTTTTAAGGTATAGAACGGGGGGTTACTACCGCATTAGGCTCTCAATTCGACTAACTACCTACCGAATAATAGTAGTTTACCACCTAAAAGCCATTAACATTTTTATAAACAGAAGGGTAATACCCGTATAACAGCACGGGTTTAGGATATTATTTAACCTTTTCGTGCTGTCTCGTAGCGTTAAGTAGTCAGTATGATTGCTCATATGTTTGTATATACCTAACCGCAGCTTGCGATATTAACGTCTGAGCGCTATGGCTGAAGGGGATGGCTACTATCCAAAGTCCGCGAAGACAATGACGAGAGTAGATTAGGTACTTAATACATCACTGCAAGCCAATATTAGACGTCCACCTATTCCATTCGTCAATTTCGACTTATCACAATATGAATTCTTATATATTACTATCAGCCTTTTGCTCTTCTCTTACTTAGGCACTCATCTTCCAGGATAGATATACAGTCAGTAGACTATCTTAAAAGGGTGGTATATAGCTCATTAAAGTTCTGAGGCATAAAGTACCGACATATAATATGCATATATTATATGCAGTTCCCAGATCGTGGCGCCGCTTCTCCAGTGTCTCATGCAACTCATCCCCCAACACAATGCGTGGGTAGACTAATGAAGTGATTAGCTATGAAGCTCAATTAATACGATCGAGTGCCATTATATCACTTACTCCAACACAAGCGCCATAGCGTACTAGCGTATCAGGGAAAGCCGTATTATTGGGACTAGGCCAAGGCGTACGAAGGGTCCGACTGCACAAGATCGAGTTGGTCAGCGCGGGAGGATGAACAAGGTGCTTATCTTAGAAGACTCACTTGTTGGCATGCCTGTTTTATGCATCTACATGCGCATTGGGGACGGTAGAAGGGGCCGAGAATATAAGGATCGTCGCCGTCGATTAGGACACAGACGTAGCTCGGAGATTCCCCAATCTGTGGTTTCACAGACCGGCCGATTGGGCCAGAGATCACGCAAGCCGCCAGTACCAAGGCGCTCAATATTTGCTGCACGTATGTACATCTTGGGGTCTGGGGATAAAAAGAATGACGTATTATGTAGCGAGCCGCGTCGGAAAATAGACGAGGATGCGTTGACCTACAGGTGGTGGAGCATCTGGCTGGTCAGCGTCTTCTGCCTGCTTATGATTGCATTGCACTAATGACAGGGCTGAAGGCAAGTAGTTATTTATTAGTGGTACAGTTCTTCGGTGCGAGAGCAGTGAGATCATGTTGGTTGTATGGTCGTTAACTTGCCCATCTAGTCCTTTGCTTGGCTATAAGGTCGGGAGTCCAGTATTCAAAATCACTCTAAAATTTCCAAATATCCCCTTTGTTATATTACTACTGCGAATATTTTACTTATTATTCTAAACTTGACGAGGAAGGGCCTGCAGTTTCACGCGATCCCCCAAACCCTCGTTATGTCTATACCCAATGTCTATTTCCCGTCACTCTCTAGCATATGGACTTCTCACGTCCAGTTCTCAGTCACAACACCCGTCATTCTTATTGCTTTCTATGCGATCGTGGTTCACCTATTGCGATATCGCCGCGCTCAAGTTGTCTATAGATCTTTGATCAATGCGGAATTCCCCTTCTTCTTCGTCAAGGGAATTCAGCTTGCGCTGTTTCGAACTTATGCAATACCCACAATCTCGTCCCTCTTAGATAAGACAGCGGTATTGTCTTCGAAATCTTCAGTGCCACGCCGATACTCAGAGACCTGGGCGCTCTTTGTTGAATTTGCGTTACCTAGGTATTGTTCGCATTTGGAGTGGTTCCTTTCCGGCTAAAGGTTAAGACGTTAAGCTCCTTGATAATTGGCTGTATGAGGCAAACATTAACAGATTGAGGCAAGGGATGCATGATACTGTAAATGAGGCCTAACGACCAGGTTTTATACTTGAGCCATCAGATGCTAAGGTACATCCGTCTGACGTCTCGGGAGATAGCCAATCGCATACATTGCGGTCTGAAACACGTATGACTGTCGGTCTATCCGTTTTGTTCAAGACAAATCCTCAATAAGGTGGCGCAGTTGCTAGTTGCTATATGTAAAGTGTGGCCCCTAGCAAAGGATTGCGGCATGGCAAAAAAGGTAAGGGTGATCCCAACACTCCTTACGAATTTGGTAAAGCGACAGGAAGTGAAATTTCCTAAACTGTCGGTTTGCTATTTCGTTTTGATTTCAAGGAGAAAATAAGGATGGAAGCCATTCATTGGCGGTTTTAACGATATCGTACTTATATAAGAAGGTTTTGCTGTCTGAATACTGAAGTAGACTTAGCCAGTGTGCGAATAATTCGGTACACATTTAAATATCCATCATGCCGTCTATAAAATTAAGTGGCCTTTTATTAGCCCAGTCTCTTTTTTCGCTGGGCGCGAATGCTCTCCCGAGCGCATCCCGTATTAATAATGACGATGCTCGGGATCTTGGCCGGCGTGGTCTGGGCTTTGATACCGATACCCCGGATATTCTAAGATTTAGCGAATTATACGGCGCACCCGAAAACAACTTTGACTGTAAGAGTGACCGGAATCCCGTTGTTATGCTCCACGGCCTCTCAGCAAACCGCCAAGTCGACCTGAACATGCTTCAATGGGAACTCAATAGGCGCGGTTATTGCACGTTCTCGCAAACTTACGGTTCCTGGAGTTTGGTACCTTGGATTGGTGGTCTTAAACCAATGTCAGAATCGGCGAAAGATATCGCTAGCTTTGTGAAAGAAGTTAAGGATAAAACCGGCGCGGAAAAGGTCGATATTGTTGGTCACTCCGAGGGTGGTGTTCAAGCCATCTACGTACCAATGACACAGGATGGTGTCTCGGATATTGTGGAGCATGTAGTCGCATTAGGACCGGCTATTCATGGTGCCAAGTACTTCGGCTTTACCGATCTATGGTATATCGGCGGGAATATCACTCGCGCCCTCGCTAAAAAGGTCGTAGACGTGCTAGGATGCCCGGCCTGCGAGGACATGGCAACCGACGGCGGGATATACAACGACTTCAAGAATGCCAGCAAGATCGTGCAGCCTGGGAACAAAGTGACAGTTATTATGTCCAACTCAGATACACTGGTATCGCCGGATGTCAGCAGGGTCGACGAGGAAGGGGCAACCAACGTTATCGTTCAAGATACTTGTCCCGACGACAAAGTTGGACATGCAGGACTCATGTGGGATAAGAGTGTCTGGCGATTAATTGTGAATGCGTTGGAAGAAAACAACGATACCGTTTTCGAGTGCGAAAAGGGACTTGTTATTTAATGGACACCTGGTATTATATAACTGCATATATTAATTAAATGTTAACTAGCTGCGTTGCCCGTTCGCGCAAGCGCTTACGGGGGAGTGCCTACCTAGCTTCAAGAGTGCCTTTTACGCCACAAATAACTCTGGCCTCTGATTGGCTAGCCACACCTCAACGCACGTCCGATGAATTTTTTGTAGAATCAATTGACCTACTATATTATTGTATGAAATTTTTAATAATTGGTATCGTTGGATAGAGCGCGTTTTGCATGACCTTTCTATCCTATTTGCATGTCTTTTAAACCTTATGCGATAGAATGGCAAAGGAAAAAGTCGCCAACTGCGGGGCGATTCTAAGGATCTGATTGGCTGGAAAAATTGTGGCAGTACTAATAAAATATAGGAGAGTTGATGGGTTGTTTATTGGGAAATTTCAAGCATCAAGACTTTTAGTGGGGATTACGTAATTAATAAGTTATTGATAGGGGTAATTACTGGGCCTTGCCTACCTGTAATTATAGACTTTACTGAATCAACATCATTTACACCTACAACATGGTGAGAGCTGCGGATCGTTTTTTCGTGCCTTTTGGTCTCCCATCGCGGCGTTTTCGAATAAATATGACGTATCACGATGATTTTTGATGACTTTTTGATGAAATTCAAGTATACCTACCTGAGGCCATACACAACCACAAACACATACAACGTTTCCCAGTGGCATCTAGCATGGTTAAACCCTCTTCAGCTCGCCTGTAACTCATCCAGCCTCCGCCCGAACCTGGCGCTGCACACACGCACACGCTATCAATCGTCAGTCAAGTCTGATGACCCAAACACGGCCTCCGACAGTACATTTTTACCTCGACCGACAGCTGTTGACAATTTTAACAAGGGTCCAGATACTTTACACGTATCCCCATATGTATCTTGCGAACTTTTAGCAAGTAAATATCTATATTGAAAACTGGTTAATTTACCTATTTGCTGTTATTTTATTCCAAGTAGAGTAAGCTTTATACTAGGAAATCATTCACTTTCTCGCCGTAGCTATGCGTCGCTAACGCCGTATCTCTATTGTCAGTTCCCTATAACTACCTAGGTAACTAGAATAACAAAGTTGTTTCCACGTCTTCTAGGTCTACATCGTGATATGCAGCCCGGAGTTTCTTAATAACCCTTACAGTCTAGTAAAAGCCGAGTGTATACAAATTCGAATTGCCTCTCTACTAGCTGCTATTAAAATAAAACTCATTAAATGTGCCTATCGATCAATCATCTCTAACGCAAACCACAACGCAACGCTTAAGCCCCAAATTAAATCAAATATCGCACTAAGCACCAAAATGCACATATGGAACCCAGAAATAATCCATTACACTCCGCGCTGCCGGTGCCCCAAACTTAAGTACCTTGGCATCTCTCGTCTCTTTACCTTTCTCCATCCGTTTATCTCTGAGTGCTCTAATCGCGAAATGCAGTCCTCGACTAACTGCGATATCCGTCATGCCTTCGTCTCGTAGCGTTTCGTAAAGTACACTTGCTATATCAACGCAGTGTTTATCTGACACTTCCCAAAGTGTTCCGACAACGTGTCGAAATCCAGCTAGCTGGAAGGCGCTGACAAGATGGATCCCTTCGTCGGATAAAGATTTCACCTTGTTAGTGCCCGTTGAACAAGCAGAGAGATATGCAAGAAAAGGTGGATTCTCGTGAAGGCGACTTTCGCGGAGGTTCTCTACGGTTAGGGGGTCGTGCTCCCAATCTTCAAGGTATAGAAAGCTGTTCGAGGGATCCTTTAGATCTGACCTACCGTGACCCGCAAAATGAAACAACTTGCATCTCTGCAAATGCTTTAGAACATCGCTTTTGGATCGTCGTGGTGTGACTATATTGAGCCGAAGTGATGGACAGAGCTTGCTCAGTATGTCTACTTCTTTGCCAGCATACGGAAGATCCCCAGGCGTAGAGAGTCCCGGCGTATTTTGCATTGCAACTAAAAGAGCAGAATCGGCTTGGCAATCTTCGACCGTATCTTGGGAACATCGTTGACGATTATGTATCAATTCTCTGATTGACGATGCATATGATGATATAACCCTATCTAAAACAGTTTCCTTGGAAGTGCTTGTATAGATGCCAGCCGCGTGAAACGGTAGTTGACTAAGGGAGCCAGTGGGAATCCACCAAACATGAGGCCATTTATTATCGACAACAGGCCCCTTGAAGCCGAGTGCATCTAGACATGGACGGCAAACAATATGCCAGAGCCATTCTAATAAAGATGTTAGATCGGAGGCGGGTCCCAGATTCTGGGTTCTGTTTGTAACTTCGTAATTCGTCAACCCCGGCAAGTTTATTGTTTGAATGCCATTGCCGTTGATAAGGAACGCATCGGATCGGTTAGGAATCATTGAAGAATCCATATTAATCATGACAATAGGGCCAAGACCTGCAGCAGCAATTAAGTCCTCCGCAGATAGTTGCCGAAGAAAGTTATGGAACCCGGGCTGGGTACGAATTATCTCAACAACTTGGTCGAACTCTCGGGTTGCTTCACGACTTCGTTTCGACTTTGATTCCCAGGCGGATAGATCACTCATTGGCGAGAAGGGAACAGGACTGTCCGTAGGCGTGTCCAGCTCATCCCGAAGCAACGTAAACCTATCTGCCAAATCAGGATGCCTCAGCTTTAAATCAGAAATATTTCCACGCATATCCATTAATAGGCCTGCGATAACGCCACGACTAAGTTCAAGAATGCGTAAAGATTCTTGAGGCTCTTCTTCGGCGTTGATGGAAATAGCAGCCGCGGTTGAAGATAAACCGGAAAGGTCAGCCAATAGGCTTTGCATGTCGGCGCGATTCAAATACCGCGGACTTATCGTAGGAAGTAGTGATATTACTCCCTTCAATAAACGGCTGGATTCTTTCCAATTTTCTTGTGATGCGAGAATTCGGGCAGCACTACGAGCTGAGTTCATTCGAATAGATGGAATAGAAGCATTACAATGCCATCCCTCAACTAAAACTTCTAACTGGCGGCTCAAGTCATCTGTCGAAGGTTTCCAATCGTTTCGGTACTCAAGCCTTATCGCAAGGTTGCTTAAGAATGAACCACGCATTTGATGGTCTTGAGGGACGAGCTTAACTGCAGTCTCTGTTATCTTGATCGCACGATCTAGATCTTCGATTGTTTCCGAGTTAGGTGATCCCAGGTCTAAATATGTTTCCAACGGCATAACCTTGACACTGAGGAAATCCCTAATTTTACACTCGATATCTCTAATCACTCCCGATTTCGATTTTAAGGTTGTCTCCTTTTGTTCAAACCTCTCGCACAGCTGACTCGCGAGACTATCTAGGCATGTAGCGCGGCGTGGATCGCCTTCAGAAATCGCGTTCGCTGCCCTTGTTGAGAATTCAATCGCATGATCTAGATCTTCCATAGACCCATTCACCTGGAATCGTGTCTCGAGCATAATTCCAAGATTGTTTAGTGCCGTAACGTAATCGTCGCTATCTTGAGGTATGCCATTTATTGCAACATTAAGCAAATTAATGGCATCGTCTAGGTCTTTGATTGATTTTCTCCGTTTCAATCGCCTAGTAATAAAAGTTCCAAGGTTATGAGAAATCCGGTAGTAACCTGGTGTATCTTCTGGTGTTACCTTCCGCAAATAACTCCCTAATTCGATTGCACGATCTATGTCTTCCATTGTACCCATATGTTCGAATCGGCTAGAAAGCAGGTTTGCAAGGGCATGGGAGTGTGAAAAATGATCAGGATGGTCTCGAGGCGTGGCATCTGCTGCTTCAGCTACAATTTCGATCGCACGGTGTAAGTCTTCCATTAAACCCGTCCGCTGAAACCGCTCACCAAGGTCATGTCCAAGATCGCTTAACCGGGTGGCGCGATCCGGATGGTTTCTAGGTGTGAGGTCAAGTACTTCGGTTGCAATTTGAATCATACGATTTAGTATTTCCATCAAACTTGTTCGTTTGAATTTCGAATTAAGCTGCCGTTTGAAGATTCGCAAGCGCTTAAGGCGATCGATATGCGTAAGGGGCGTAGATTCTACTGCATCGGCTGCAGCCTTGATCGCTCGATCGTTGTCCTCGACACATTTTGTTCTATCGAATCGAAAGCCAAGAAGGCGTGCAAGGTTGCTCAAGTAAAGAGCACGGTAAGGCTCATTTTGAGGCATGAGATCGACCGCCTTGGTCGTGAATTTGATCGCATCATCTAAGTCCCTGAGTGATCCCCGTTTTTCAAACCGGTCGCTCAACGACGACCCAATATTGTTCAAACAAAGGCTGCGATCTATAGGATCACGAGGTGACGCATCCATCGCTTTAAACAAAAGCTTAATCGCTCGGTCTAGGTCCTCCTCCGTCGATGATGTCTCTTTGCATTTTAGCAGAAGCATTGAATTAAGCCCGAGCAAGAACTTGAAGTATTCCGGATCTTCTGGAGACGCGGCGTCTAGAACTTTTGATTGGTTGTCAATTGCACGGTTTAGATCCTCGATTAATCTTCTACCTAGGAATCGTTGGAGGAGCATTGATGCAAAATTCCCTAACATAGATGGTATGACAAGACCATCTTCGATGTTTACTACTCGATCCATGACCGCAATAGCCTCATCTAGGTCTGCCAAAAGGCCGGTCTGCGTATAATTTTGGGCGAGGCGTATCGCTCGATTAGTTAGAGACTGTGCCATGATGAGCGCTTGGATAGCCATAGGCTGCATTTGCACACCAATATCCTGGGGATGAAACCCTGAAATATCACTTCGATAATATTAGTGAAAGGGAAAGTTATCATATAACCCATATCATAGATGTAGTACCAATATACCTATTGTATTGGTTCCACACACATTTTGATTTCGGTTGATAAGACGGGTATGGTAGTTACGTACGGATGTAGCTGTGGTATAGTTTTGGCGGCTTCGCGGATATTCTGTTGGGACTTATACTGATGCATCTGGGTGGATAACGTGTCTAGAATACTAGATCGTCGACTATGATCTGAGTGATCTGCAGGTGTAACCGCGAGCCAACCATTAGCTCTCTGAATAGCTCGCTCAAGCTGTTCCTCGGAGTGCGATTTTTGGAAGATTAAAAGACAACAATATATATACAACTCGATCTGCTCGTCGTTCGTAGGGTCTTCACGGACTTTGGCGAAGGAATGGAGGTTATGTTCGTTTAATTTAGAAAGGAATAACTTTAGACCTGGATCTATGTTAAATACACCCATGTCGGCCATGTTGTAAGTGTCTGTCTGTGATGTAACTATGGTTTAATAAGATGCGATGCTAGATATTTGGGAGCGACGGTGACGGATGTATATCTAGAAAGAGAACTAAACTATAGCAGGACTCTCAAGCTGTTACAATCCTCCTTAAATAGAGGCATGTAATCGAGTGCTATACAGCAATAAATTTATTATAGTGGCGATAATTCTCATTGTGGCTAAGCATATATATTCTAATTGTCAGCAACAATAAACCAGATCGGCACCCAATACCTATCAGACTGGGGCACATAAGACCGCCTTTGAGGCTGAGACGCTTGTTTCGATATAACGATGTATTCACTTCAAACTATAATGAGGATTTACCAGTAATGTGCACCATTGCTCGGATATTCTTGCCATAAAGGCACATCGCCATTTAGGCTTATTCCGAGCAGATGAAGAGGCATAATGTGAAGTTATTATATTGCTTTAGATCCATGACTATTTCTTATTGGGGGAATAACCTTACGACTTGCATAGAAACTTGAAACTAAGATGCGGTAATCACCTGCTGACAGTGAACACTTCATAGAGCCTGCAGAATTAAGCGGGTTTCCCTTCAATATAGCCTTTTTCGAGTCTCTATATGTCAACACACAAGGCGCAAGAGTTTATACTAGGCAAGGCGTATGTCATTTCCTTAGTTTGTAGGTTAGATACCTAGGTACCTATATTAGTTGTTACTATTCTAAATGATAACTGGATGTCAACGTTGTGGCGAAAAGCAATGCAACCCTATGACTATTCCCTTGCATCCGTTACGTAGTATTGAAGAATGACAACTAGCCTTCATGACAAGGCAAAATATTACAGCACATTGTATGGCTAATTCTACCAACCGCCCAGCCGTTTACATAGAAAAGGCTAGTTCCACCCAGGTAAGCATTGATGGTCTCACACCCTTAATTTATTGTTGACAACGAATGAGGCTTGGTTTGGCCATTAATGAGCGGGTCCACCTGTACCCGATATGAAGACTACGAGAACTGTAGTATACCTGTAATTTTAGTAGTATATTAGTTGCTGGTCAAATTTTCAGGTTTGGAGGGAAACGCACGTCGCGCCAGCTACAATTAGCTCGACTATCCGCGTTCTAGTGAGGCTGGATAAAGCAACCACAAACATCATGGTAGCGGCGACGACGATGATTAGTCTAGCCGATAAACTGTTGACAAAACTACAAATAATGACTGGGGCAAGAAGGAGGATTGTTATGAAGGGTACCACAAATATTCTCACCATCAGCCTCAGTGACGATGGTGAGAAGATGTGCACTTTTGGGTCTCGCGAAACGCCCAGCTGAGTGCCTGGGGGACTTTTAAGCCCACTGTTGATAAGGAGCTTATGCAAGTAGACGCGAATATTCTCTGCCTGTACCTCTAGCCATGTCACCAGAAAATCCTCTGACGTGGCAAGGCTGACGAGGTCTTCATCGTATTCCAGGTAGGCTGTCTCATTACGTGCTACACAGCCAGTCCCGCTGATCCAGTTTCTTAGGTTCGATATAGCACGTGGTGGCGCAGATTCGAAGTAAAGAGCACGTTGGTGTCTCTCTAAGTACTCATCTACACCCCTATTAGTTTTTACCTACAACGAATCTACCATGTAATTAGAGTGGAATCTGACGTTACCATAGTCGGCTAAAGCATCTTGTATCTTTGCAAGAACCTCGTGCCTTTCGCTGTTAGTGTCCCGACGACAACTTCCTAGTGATAGGCTAGGCCCTTCATCTCTATCGATCTTCTCTAGTTGCTTTTCCAAGAGCGATAGTTTATCCTGTTTAAGCAGAAGTAATCGCGCGCGCAAGCCAGAGAATCGGCGACAGAGGTGGAACGAATTATGAGAGGCAACAAGAGCTGAGAAACGAGGGTATCCTAGTGGAAAGTCCTCAACTATGCCCAGTTAGCATCATAATCTGTAAAATTTAGAATGTGGCTATTCGCACTCTGTTTCCTAACAACTTGGGTATCTTGGGGCGGAGCACCCCCAGTTGATGCTCGGGTCCATGGCAGTAACCAAGTAGAATATTTGCTCAAAGCCGGAAACGAATTGATTCGTTGACCAAGCTCCAAGTCTACCGCCGATTGTTGTGTCATGTTGTAGAGTGAATGCTAAAGAATACCAAAAATTGGCATTTACATCATCTGAATCCGTTTGAAACACGGTGGTCATTGTAATAAGAATTAAATCTTAATAGTAGCGGGCATCACCGGTAGCTCAGGTGAACAAACGTCCAACATGCGACTGCCAATATATATTGACAGTTTGCCTAAAATACATGTACGTATTCTACAGTCACTCCCCCATATGTCTATTATGTATGAGATGAGCCTCATGCACTGCGCAATAGCCTTATATCCATTTCTGCCTAACACATTCTAGGCTCTTCTTCATACTTCCCCCCTATTTTATGCATACCATCCCAGACCGAGCCTCGTCCTCACGCGGGCTCGTGATATCACTAGGTACCTACCTTTAGGTAGGCATCAATTAAACGTCTATATAATGAGGTCTCTTTTCAGATATTTTATTAACTTGCTGTACAACATCTAGCTCTCGGTAACATCTAACTAGGCTTTGTTAAGTGAGATATCATCAGAATACCTACATAGGAAAACATGGATTCGGCTAAGCAGTAAGTATTTCTTACATATATTGAATACTGCGCTAAAACTTCGCACAGAGACAGTCAGACACCCTCCTTCACGTTTCCCGACGATGGTGGTCGCCCATATGTCGAGGAATATGGATATGTAAGAATATTAAGATGCCGAGTTTCTCTTCTTCATCAATGCTAATCATCAATAGAATCCCAAATTCCGACCAAACGACGACGTTTACGTTCAAGATCCAGTGACTAAAGAATGGAAAGGGCCATTCACTGTATCGTCTCTAGAGGGAGGACGGTACAAGCTTCAAGATTCTAGAGGACGAGAAGTTAACAATGGGCAACTTTTCGAAGAAGCATGCCTAAAGCTATACAACCTTTTCGAATAAGTTTTGGCGCTATGAAAACTCTGAATATGATCGAGGCACTTGCATGGTTTTATGAGTAGAGTATCTTTCAAAGAAGACGGTGTTTTTCAGAATGTTTATCGTATCAGAATGTTTATCCTAGAACTACCATGGTAGATAAGAGTTCATTTTACTATTACTGGGCGATTGCCAATAACTAATAATGTCAAAGCAACGTGTTAGAAGCGTTCTCTTCGTAGGTAGGTACTTAATGTACCTGAAACCACCGTAAAAGGTGCTTATAAAAATACAAGAAGTAGGTAGCAATTGCTGATTGAAAAGAGATATAGAGATCACAATGTAACTAGGCAATCTAGGACCACTTAGAGGAACTAACTGCTTGCTAAATACATTTCCTACTTAGAAGTAACCCTTAATTATTCATCCTACAGCCATCATATATCATTCTATCACATTGTCATTCTATAGTAGTGGTTATAATAAAGTTCTGAGTCGCCCATCTCTCTCCCCCAGGATCTTGGCCCCGAAAATTAGTTGTCAGGCTTTCAATAAACAACGATAATGTGTCGTGAGACTCGTCAATTTGTCCACGGTAAAAAGTTGAATGAAGAGGAATTTCTGATAAGATCATCGAGGGAAAGTTTGTTGGTTTAGTTGTGAGGAAGACCTTCAGCACCTCTTCGCAGCGCTTTTTACCTTGACCGAGGAGGAACTTGGGAATTTCCATGCCTATTGGCAATTCCTCTGTCTTTCCACCTTCTATAACCAAGAATCCACCGTCAGCCGCAGCCGATAAGATATTCTCGATCTTCCAGGACGGGGTAAAGTCGAAAATTGCCAAGTACAAGGGTGCCTGGCTGCGATTTTCAATCACGAGATGCCAGTTAGTACCATGCTGAACCTCAAGGACGCTTGAGCTGCTTTTCTCGCTTCTACCAACATATGAATAAAGCGAAAATGAGCCTTCGAAAGAAGAACTTGGCTTTTTATTTCCAATTGCTTCGGCATATTTGAACTGTGCAATATGCTCCAGAATATTCATGAGTTTATGCTCGGCTCCTTGTGTACTTAGAGGGATTGTTGGCAGATTGTGAATCTTTTGGAGCGATCCATTTAGTATCTCAAATTCCTTCTGATCATTAAGCGAAACATTAAACATGCACGCCTCAGTATCATCATCCGAAGCGCAGATATGCATGTATTGGTGTTTCAAAGCCTCATTGCGTTGAATCTGACTGCTGATGCTTGATAAAAGCCGTATAGGGGTTGCTCGATGCAAAACAGACGTAACTAGCTTTGCTTTCCAGCCTGTCTGGACCTTTTGCAAAGTCGTAGGTAGTTCTAAAGTCGTAGATAGTTCTAAAGTCGATACCAGTGCATTGACTGTTCCGACTTGAGCTATAATCGATGTATCTTCGGGCTGACTAGTAACATCCTCTGTTGAATCAAGCGGATACAGAGCATATTGATCCCCCGGATGGACGCCATGAACCTCTCCTGCATCTAGATACAGGTTACCCTCGCTAAAATAAGCATGGATAATGGGCACATTCGGTTCGGTGACGGGTCTTCCGAAAAACGATAGGTTCCTGTTTCCGTAACGCATCGGGGTTTGCTGCGGCCAAGACGCGCGAAAGTTTACACGTAACTGTTCATATAAAGATTCGCTAGTTATTTCTATACTATGCATTCGTAAAGAGCATAACGCTTCTATTAGAAAGTAACTGAGAGCTCCTCTCCGTCGCCTAGTATCTATCAATTCCAGTTCATGTGAGAGTTCCTGTGGACCACATGCGGAAAGGATTGTGTAACCCCCTGGGTCGATAAGCCATCGATCTGAAGGCAAGGTTGAGTCGCGAAAGGCGCTATCTGAGTTGCAGATAACCATGAGGTCCGCATAATGTTCCCCTGAGACCGGGTCCTCGGTGGATAGGTCACAATCAATAGATCGAATAGCTATACCACGAATGTCTTCGGTTCGTAGTACACTGCCCGAGAAGCAGCAGTCAAGACCGAGTGTAACTAAAAGCCCCTTCTCCACGAATTTATTGAGAATCGTTGCCAGATCCATGCCTCGCAAACAGGATGTGCCGGGACCTCTGTGATCAAAGAGAACGAGGGCAAGATGGTCATCAATTCGGGTACCATGCCCTGAGTAGTGAACGTATACAAAGTCACCCGGCATTGCATACTCCAAAACTCTCCTTAGTTTTTCAGCCACATTCTCTTTTGTTGGTAAACAGTCCGGATGTTCTAATGGGCCGAGAGGGGTCGAGGTGGGAGGTGTCGTTGCAGTAAGAATTGAGATATCTGTTGGATTCGGCCCTGATTCTAGGTAGTGCTTTATTGTCGTCACATCATTGACACTTCCTTTAAGACATTCACCAGTCTTGTAAAAGTCTATTCCGATCAGAACAGCCCAGTGCTTTGGGAGAGAGGAGGCAATGTCCGCCATGATGGAAGGATGATAAATATTAGATTACTTTCATGCTGTGGTGAATATCAACATAGAAATAGACGCGTAAATGCATCACTTAGGACACTAATATATATGTTCACTTCGTATTTCCTGATACAGTAGATTTATAAATTGAAAACGAATACCTATCCCAGAAAAAGAGTATTACCGCCTTAGGTGCCTAGATCTAGGGCAGAAGTGTGATAGGTTCTGACAACTGACATGTGTTACATTGGGGCAATGGCATGCTTGTGCGTACGTACACGGCGGGCGATAGGTTGACCTCGCGCATCGTAATGTACCTACCTAACATATAGTATTCATAGTATTCTATAGCTATTCAAGTCAGCCACCCAGATAGCCTACCGTTCAGCCCAGGCTCGGCTGCGCGGATAAGCTTATTCATACAGCTTATTCAAGTCTGCTTAGGCATTCATAGCTGCCCAAGGAGTAAATCCCAACCATAGGTTGAGGAAAACCCAATATTTCCCTAACTGGCTCTATTTACACCCCTCCACCCCTCCCTGGGGCTATGGAGAGGCTATATCGTGGGAAGTACATTATGCGCACGGATCTTGACCGTAACTGACAGTGACAACCCCTGATAGCTTGTCTGTGATATTGCTGTGCACTGTATGAGCTTGTCCCCGGAAGCTTCCAAACCCCCAGATGATCTCATTGGACTGTTCGCCTGGCCGATACTCTATAAAATCGGTATCGAAACGAATACCCCACCGCTCTATAAAGGTCCGAGTTAGATTCTCTGGCGTCACAATTTCTGGACTTCCCTTGATGATAAGAACTCGAGAAAGATGATAGACGAGAAAGGGTTTGGCGCGGATTCGATGCCGAACAACTCTGGTGCGCCAGCCCTTGACATTGAAGGGGTGTTGAGACTGTAGGAGTAGGAATCTGTTACAGGCATTTGCGGTAAAGAATGTCAACGAGGCTGCTGATGTGGGAAAGAATTTTCCTGTTTTGTCATTATACACAGGTGGATTAATATGCAATGAGTAGACGCGCCCGATGCCTCGGATTGCTCCCAGTACATCTGAAATAGTGCATTTTGGCGGTAACCCCGTGATCCATAGCCTGCAGTTTTCGTCTTCAGGAACATCTGCACTCATGTTGAGAGGTAGGGAGCGGTTTCCAAGATAACTCGGCGCCGGAGAAGGCTGATTTTGGTCTACTGAAGCACTTGTACCCCCTGATTGTGAATCATGGTTTGGCTTATTCTGCTGGATGCTGTGGGGTGGCAAGACAGACTCATCCGTATACTGGTTTTCATGATAGTAAATATTGACAGTTTGCGTGGGATGCGTTTCTGGAACTCCGGACGCTCCGCTGCTTATCAAGTTATTGGAAGGTCCTAGACCTAGTTGTCGACGGTAATAGTCTAAGACTTCACGTGAATGAATACTGCAGAAGGCTGCTTGGATGACAGCCCCTGGTAGGTAAATGCTAATTAGTCTAGTGAGGAGGTCTGAGAGATTATTATGACTTACCCCCTTGCTCATTGGCTGTATCCGCCATTCTGATGGGTAGAATAGGTATTATGAGGGTTCGGGTGCTCTTAGGACTAGCTTCGAGTATTATTAGTAGGTACCTAATAGATTTAAAATATAGGAGAGAGCTTACTATCTAGATAGAAACAAGCTTAATCCTTAATTGGCATTGATTACAGTAGTGGAATTATGGATAACCTTACATCGAAAGTACTCCGGTTTAAATATAGAGGACGAGCTCGTTAGGAATAAGGTTGGCATTTATATAATAATAGTTCATATATTTGGTAAAGACAACAGCTGGAAATCGTGTGTTTCAAAAAGTCAAGTTGTAGTGAATATTCCTGGGACGTTCATGACGTAGAAAATATTACTCTTGGATTTGATTATGTGAAGTCCTCATCAACTACGTCGTAGGCTTTTATGTGGATGATTCGTTCGTATCGGCAATCACGAATAAAGTACTTAAAGCAATCAGTATGTGTCTGTGAACATCTCAAGGGGACATGACGAAGCAATATTAAGATAGTTCCAACAGTTGTGTGCTCTGAATCCGATTTATGTCATCTCGTGTAGCCTTAGTATTAATCACATAACTTCCGATATCTCCATAGTGAATAAAAAGGCTCCCTGGAAGAAACCTCCCATTCCCTGATCCAGTCACATCCCAGTTGTTCAAGAGTTATGTCAAAACACAGGTAACATTGGATTATACTTTAAGCATCCTTATTCTCTTCAATTGCCATTTTCTCATATGACGGTAGTATTTTAAGGTGTAATTTTAAGGGTTTTACTTTAAGTTTAACTCCTTTACATTAATATTGTATAAATCACTTTATTAATCTTTTTTAAATAAATTTACAATATTAATTTGTTTTTTTTTTTTAAATTTTTTTTTTAAAACAATATTAATTAAATTTAAGTAAAATTAATATTTTTTTTATTTTAATTTTTAAACCAAATATTTTCGAAACGGGTTACGCCCGTTTACGTTACGTAACGCATGGTTTATATATTTATATTTATAAATTATAAATAAAGTATTTAAAAATATTTAGTTTAAAGTTATACGGTATTGTAAAAATTTTTAACGTTTTTATTAATAATAAAAAAATTAAACATTATATTTACAATAATTTAATATATTATAATAATGTATAAAATAATTTTAATTTTAATAATTTAAAGTTTATAATATATTTTTTTTAATTTTTTATTTTTTTTATATACCCGTAAAACATTGTTTTTTTATATATTAAACTTTAACGTTTAAAAATTTTTAACGTTTTAAAATATTATATATTTAAATATATTTTATTTTAGTAAATTTAAACCATAAATTCGATATCGTTTATAAAGTTATACCTTTTTTAACCACACCACTTTTTAACCAATTAAAACCCGGAACAACTTTTTTAAATAACATTAAATCTATAGTTTAAAATAACTTTAAAACCCTACACATTAAAAACATACGTTTAACGTTTTAAAACAATAACATTAACGAGATCATTAAAACAACAATATTAACGCGTTTTTACAATAAGTAATAATTAATTATATAATAGTTATTAATTTTATTATTAAACTTATCGATTTAATTTACGCGTTTTAAACCTTTTAAAGTATTAAATGGTTAAAATTAATTATAATACCGGTCGTAACGTTAACCGTAACAATAACCGTAATAACGCGTTAATCGTAACGCGTAACAATAACCGTAATAAACGTTAAAACTTGGTATAAATATACAAAAAAAGTTAAAAGTTTAAAAAATGTATTAACCTTAAATTATTAAAAAAAAAAAAAGGGATTTTATACATGGTTATAAAATATTAAATTGTTATATTTAAGTATTTTATATAAGGTTTAATATTAAATAATTAAAACGTTAAAAATTTTTAAACATTAAAACTTAATATATAAAAATACAATGCCGTACGGGTATGTAAAAAAGTTAAAAAAATAAATTAAATATATTATTAACTTTAAATCATTAAAATTAAAGCTATTTCGTACGTTATTATAATATATTAAATTATTGTAAACATAATGTTTGATTTTTTTATTATTAACGAAACCGTTAAAAACTTTTATAATGTTATATAACTTTAAACCAAAAATTTTTAAATGTTTTACCTGTAATTTATAAATATAAACATATAAACTACGCGTTACGTGGCGTAAACGGGCGCAGTTTAACTCGAAAATTTCGGGTTTAAAATCATTTAAAATAAAGTATATTTTATAACCACGTATAAAATCCTTTTTTTTTTAACAATTTAAAGTTAATAATATTATTTTTTAATTTTTTTAACTTTTTTTACATATTTATACAATTTTATATATTAAGTTTTAACGTTTATTACGGTTACCGTTATAATTAATGTTACGGTTAACGCGTTATAACCGTTATTATAACCATTTTTAATATTTTAAAAAACTTAAAACACATAAATTTAATCGATAAACTTAATAATAAAATTAATATAATTATATAATTAATTAAATTTATTATAAAAACGCGTTAATATTATTATTTTTAATAATATTATTAATATTATTGTTAATATTATTATTTTAAAACGTTAAACGTATAATTTTAATGTATAAAGTTTTAAACCTGTTTTAAACCATAAATTTAATATTGTTTTAAAAGGTTATTCCAGGTTTTAATTGGTTAAAAAAGTGGTATAATTAAAAAGGTATAACTTTTTAAATTAATTTCGAATTTATGGTTTAAAGTCATTTAAAATAATATTTTTTACGATTATTTAATTTTTTTTAAAAGTTTAATGTTAATAATTAAAAATAAATTTAAAAATAAAATTAATAAAATATCATTACGTAAAAATAGTCACGTGGTGACAAGTGATTATTTTTTACATAAAAAGTAATTTTTTTTAAATAACATTTACATATATAATTTATAATTAATATAACATTAATTAATTAATATAATAATAATTATCGTAATAATTTTATTTTATATTATTTTTTTTTTTCCTTTTATTACGTTATTTTTTTTTATTATTTAATTTATACGGATATTTTATTTTATTTATATTAATTAATGGTTAATTAAAAAATAAAACCATAAATTAATAAAATTAAAAAAAATTATAAAAACGTTAAACGTTTTTTTTTTTTTAATAAAAAAAAATAATAACATTAACGGTTATTATATTATTTTAAAAATATTTAAAGTTTAATTTATAAATTTATAATACTTACGTTTTATTACGTATTTTATAACATTTTTATTATATTTATAACCATTTAACATGGTTTTAATATAAAATAAATATATTAACGATAATATTTTAAACATTAATTTAATTATTAACTTTAATAATTTCGAATTAAATAAAGTAATAATAAAAAAATTTAACACGTATTATATAAAAAACTTTACGTATTATTTTAAATATTATAATAACAAATATAACGAAAATATATAAAATAATTTTAAAAACTTTTTTATAAAATAATAAATAAAACACTTTTAAAAAACATACTTTTCGTTTTAAAAATTAATAATAAATTATTTTTTATATTACGAAATATATTTTAATAAAAAAAAATTACCTTTAAAAAATTAAAAATAATTATTAACGTTAAAAAATTCATAAAATTTTTATTTAATAAAAGTACATTTTTATTAAAACGTTATTTTAATAATTTTATTTTAATAATTAACCCGTATTATATTAATAAATTTAATAAAATTACGGTTAAAATATTATAAATATTTTAAATTTTAATATATTAAATATTTACCCGTTTAAAAATAATATTTAAATCATTTTAAATGTAAGTAATATAATTAAATAAAATAAATATAAAATAATTAACGGCACCGGAAATAATATAATTAATTAAAACATTACCGGAATTTATTTTATAATTAATAATATTAAAACTAAATTTATGTTAAATAAATTAATTTATTAAATTAATTAATAAAAATAAAACATTATTATTTTTTTTTTACAAACATTTAAATTGAATTTAAATGTTTAAATGACACGTGACGAGCAGTCACGTGTTAAGATATATTAAAGTACATTTTACAACTTATAAATAATACCGGAACCGATTTTATAAAAAATAAAATTAATTTTAATAATATTAAAACTAATTTTATAAACATAACCGATTTTATAAATAATCCCGTTAAAATTTAATAAATTTAATATAAAACTAATAAAATCATAAAACATTACCAATTATATTAAAATATATAATAATAATAAATATAAATATAAAAATAAAAAATATAACTTAATAAATAATATACCGGATAAAAAAATTAAAATCGTTAAAAATTTTTATTATAAAATTAAAATCGGTTAATTATATTAAATTTACCACAATACACAATTATTTTTAATTAATTTAAATTAATAATTTTTACGATTTAATAAAATAATTTTATTTTTAATTAAACGATTTACAATACGAAAATAACCTCGTTTTTAATTAAACGACTTTTATTTTAACCGTTTTAATTAATTAACTTTAATTAACTTTAATTAACTTTAATTAACTTTAATTAATATAACGAAAAATTTTACCATAAGTTTATTTAAACTTATTACATGTTATTACAATAAATTTAAAACTTATTAACAATTACGTTATAATATAAAAAAAACGGATTAAAAGTAAAAAAAAAAAAAAAAATTGTTAATATTACATTAATTAAATTATATATAATTACGTTATACGAAAAAAAAAAAAAAAAATTTATTAATAATAAAATATTATTACGTAAAAATAATCATGTAATAATACGTAATTATTTTTTACATAAAAAACAATTTTTTTTAAATAACATTTATATATATAATTCGTAATTAATACAATATTAATTAATTAATATAATAACAATTATCGTAATAACTTTATTTCGTATTATTTTCTTTTTTTTTCCTTTTGTTACGTTATTCCTTTTTATTACTTAATCCGTACGGATACCTTGTCTCACTTACAAAAGTTGGTTTATTTTCCAAATAAAAGTTAAATAATAACTAATGACATATATATATGTCTTGTTTAACTCCGCACTTC